AAAAGATATGGCTAGATCATGCTAAGCAGCTTAGATTTTTTTTTTTTTTTTTAAGATTTTATTTCTTTCTTTGTCAGAATGAGAGAGAGAGAGAGCGCGCACAAGCAGGGTAAGCGGCAGGCAGAGCGAGAGGGAGAAGCAGACTCCCCACTGAGCAGGGAGCCCGACGGGCTCGATTCCAGGACCCTGAGATCATGACCTGAGCTGAAGGCAGACGCTTAACCAATTGAACCGCCCAGGCATCCTTGAAGAGCTTAGATTTTATTCCAAGTGCATTGTGAAGCCATTGAGGAGTTATTAAGCAGGTGATGGCCTAACCCAACTTACTTTAAAAAGATCACTCTTGAGGTGCCTGGTGGCTTAGTCGGTTAAGTATCTGCCTTCTGCTCAAGTCATGGTCTCAGGGTCCTGGGATCAAGCCCCTTGTAGGCCTCCCTGCTCAGCATGGACCCTGCTTCTCCCTCTCCCTCTGCTGCTCCCCCGCTTGTGCTCGCTCTTTCTCTGTCAAATAAATAAATAAAATCTAAAAAAAAAAAAAAAATCACTGTGGCTCCTTGGAGTATGATAGCCACTAACCACATGTGGCTACTGAGCACTTGAATTACGGTGAGTCCAAATTGAGATGGACTATAAGTGCAGAATATACGTTATTTTGTGTACTTGAAATTTTTCACTTAAAATCACATTAAAATGTAAAATATTTCACTAATATTTATATTGATTACATGTTGATATATTTGAATATGTTTGGCTAATTGTCAAAATTAATTTCACCTGTTTCTTTTTAGTTTAATGTAGCTACTAGAAAATTTGAAATTACATATGTGGTCACATTATATTTTTATGAGACAGTGTTGCTCTGGTTATTTATGAAAAACAGGTTGGAGGGAGAGCAAAAGAGGAAGCGAGAAGACCAGGGCTGAGGCTATATTGTTGGCATTTAGAACTGATGGACTAGTTGGGTTAGGGTGTTATCGTGGGAAATGGGGAGAAGCAAATACATCTGAGATATGGTGGGGGTTTCCATAGAATTTACTGATGGATCAAGGATGATTTCCACATTTCTGAATTGAGCAACAGGTTACATGATGGTGCTAAATACTGAGATGAGGAAAACGAGGGAAGGACTGGCTTTGGGGTGGTAAAGTCATGTCAAGCCCAGTTTTGGACATACTAAGTTTGAGCTACCTGTGAGCCATTCCAGTGGAGATGCCAAGCTGGCAGATAGTGATCTGGGACTGGAGCTCAAAGGAGAGGTTTGGACAGGACTAAAGAGAAAATTCTGAGTTCTCAGCACATACATGGTATGGAGGGTTAAGAAGATAGTGTCAACAGAGAAGAGAAGAGGGCCCAAGGACTGAGCCCTGTGTGGCTTACTTAGCTCATGTGCCACAGCGACTGTTGGGGGCTGAGTAGGAGAAAAGGGGCCTGCAAAGGAGAACAAAAGAAACAGAGACCTATGATCAACACGAGGGCAAGATGGTGTCATTGAACCAAGAGAGGAGCTTGAAGAAAGAATAGTTCTCTGCTATGGCAAATGTTGCTGAAAGGTCAGAGAGACAAGCACTGAGCAGTACTCACAGGTTCAAGCCACAAGGAAGCCATATACTAGGAATAAGCACGACAAAAGCCATTCATCCGTGGCAGGTGGGAAAGGAAGCAAGGTATTAAATGGAAGGTGAAGTAGCAGTGTGTGAAGACTTCACTCTTTAAAGAAATTTGGCTCTGAAGAGAGAAGAGACAAGGAAGTCACCCAGAGAGAGATGAGGAATCAAAGGGGAGACAGGAGTGTGGGAATGATAATAGATGGAGTGAGTTTAATGATGAAGGACAAGAAAGGTATAACTAGAGGAGCAAAGTCCTTGAGAGCTGAGAGGAGTTGAGAGCTGGGACAGGGGTGCAGGGAGAGAAAGATTTACCCCAGAGCTAATGAAGCTGAAGCCTCAGGGCTCCTTACTTGCATGGGCCTCTTTCAAGACCTAGTTTGTATTTGTAATTTTGTATTTTATTTTCTTAAAAAGGGGCTTCAGAACCAACCCCCCCGCAAACCTGGTTTTGCTCTGGCAAGGAAGGAGTGACTTTGGTTAGGAGGAGAGATGGCCCAGTGTTTCCCAAACTTGAGTGATGACAGTAAAGTAAAACAATGAAACAAAGTCTCAATATACCAAAAAATTTATCAGAGGAACCCCAGGAACTTGTGTTCCCAGCTTGAGAATCACTGTTCTGCTGGAGACATTCACATAGGAAAATAAGAATCTGAACTCTGTGTCTGGCTTCATCTCTGCCATGTGTGAGGCTGGCTTCTTAAGTAGGTGTTATGACAATGAATGCAAAGTTCTGTGAGTTCCTCCAATGAGGTGAATCTTTCCGTTAGGTGAACTGTCATACTTGTTTTTTTTTTTTTTAAAGATTTTATTTATTTATTTGACAGAGAAAGACACAGCGAGAGAGGGAACACAAATGGGGAGTGGGAGAGGGAGAAGCAGACTCCCCGCCGAGCAGGGAGCCCGATGCGGGGCTCGATCCTGGGACTCCAGGATCATGACCTGAGCCGAAGGCAGTCGCTGAACCAACTGAGCCACCCAGGCGCCCCCTGTCATACTTGTTTTGCATCCCACTACTTACCGCGCCTTGGTTTCTTGCAGCTGCAGCTGAGACTTTCTGTCTTTAACCCATACCGACAGGACTTTTTTTTCTTCCATTTCACACCAACGACGTTTTCCAAATGAGATTTAAAGACATTGATCACAGCATCCTCTTTCTGAAGCTCTCTCTGCTTGGTGGGGTTTGGATCTATCAATGATTGTTCTCTGTGGAAGGTATAAGCAGATACAAATGCAACACTTGGTTAGGCAAAGACAGTGCTTTTATCCCCATCTTACGAGGGTGCTCAAGATAGCAGATCAGCAAAATTAGTGAGAAAAGGGAAAAAAAGAGGCTGGTCTGTTTCTGACATTTGCTGGGCCCGAGGCACAAATACAGACAAGGAAACACACTATAGATTGAATATTTAAAATTTACAATTTATAGTAACAAACTTAAAAATCGTATATCCTTCTACCTTGACAAATATATTTTTATAATGTTGGCTTGGTTTAAATAGAAAATTTGGACTCCTTGGATTTCTTGCTGGAACACAACAGTGTGAGGTGAGCCAGCTGCCAGTCCTCCCCATGTTTTCTTCCTATTTCTGGCTCAGAAAGTTTTAGGGGCTGATGGAGCAGTAGCTACAGAGGGACTGGAGGTAGAGGATATAGAGAACTTCCCAGTCTCACCCTTGAGCTGAGTTGAGCATGTGAGGAGATCCTAGTTTTTATTATCATTATAGGGATTCATTTCTCAGAATTGGAAAAGATGCAGGGATGCTGGGGTCAACTGAGGAAAGAGCTCAGGTTGTGTGTCCTAGCCAATGCCCTGCACACCATTGGGTTTAACCTCACCTACCACTTGAGGTCCTCTCCCACGAATGGCTGTCCAGCAGTACCAGGCCCCTTTCCATTGGGCTTGACAAGATCAAATCAAAGGTACAAGCAGAGATAAAAAGGCATGGCAAGAAGTTTTAAAGAATGGGTCCTGAGACACGGTATTTTCTAGTCATCCTACAGCATATGTCCCTTTACAAGCACAGGATTAGGTACTTGCAATCTGAACATGTGGTGCAGGTTGGGTGCACCAAGAATATCTAGAGGAAGTGGTGGTGGGGAGAAGTAGTCTAGATATCTAGACTCCGAGAGTATCTCCAGAGTTTCCATCCAGATAAGAAAATAAGCTTCAGCCTGATGTTAGGCTCCTTTGTCACCACTAGGATGGTAAATTGAATTTATCCAATCCTGGTAGCTGCCTTGCTTTCTAGTATTTATGTCAAAGAAATAATGAGAAGCAAAGGGAGCTGCCAGGGGACATGGTACTGCCGGGTAGAGAGAGTCTTTTTGAAAATAAAGTCAAAACATGGGGCGCCTGGGTAGTTCAGTCACTTGAGTGTCTGCCTTTGACTCAGGCCGTGGTCTTGGGGTCCTGGGATGGAGTCCCACGTCAGGCTCTCTGCTCAGCAGGGAGTGTGCTTCTCCCTCGCACTCCCTCTGTGTTCTCTCTCTCTCTCTCAAATAAATAAATAAAATCTTAAAAAAAAGAAAAGAAAAGAAAGTCAAAACAGATAAAACAGAGCCAACAGACTCAGGAAGACAGTGAGCATGAGCAAACAATGTGATGACCATGGACTCAGCCTTGCCCAAAGCTTAGGAACTAACATTTACAGCTGATAAATTCCTCCTCCTTTTTTCTTTCCTTTCCTTTCCTCTTCTTTTCTTTTTCTTTTTTCTTTTTTCTTTTTTTTTTTGCATGAGTTACTTTAAGTTGGTTTTCTGTTATTCACAACTGGAAGAGTCCTGACTAACCCCCAGAGTAAGGCCCTATATTCATGAATGGAGAGTTGAGATGAGTTGATTAGTACAGGGAAAATATTTCCAAATTATTGCCAGTCCGTAAGTATGGTTTAAATTGGATACATTACTTTGAATAAGAACTGATAAACATTCTCTGGGAATCTGTATAAGCACTTGACCAGAAGGATTGGGTAAGCCATTCTCTGTAACCCCACTCCTTACATACAACAACAGTTGCCTGAATTTTTCCTGAGTGGAAAGCAAAGAAAACAAAAAAGCTAGATATATCTATAAATATCCACCAACCAGCTGACAATAAGACAGTTTTTTCTACTGACTCCCATGATAAAGGCCATATTGTCTTAATTATGTGATCACACACAAATACTTGAGTTCCTACTAGGTGCAGAGCATTAGGATCAATATGGTGGCAGATACAGGGAAGTAGAAAACATTGGTCCTTCTTTTTTTTTTTTTTTTTTTTTTTGGTTAAGAAAATTTTGTGGTTTTATTGTATCATGAGGCATTATTGAAACATCCGAACAAATCAATATCTGGGCGGTGAGGCAGCTGCTTTCTCCTTCACTTCTTTGGGTTACTAGAGCAACTTGTCAGTAGATTAAAAAAAAAAAAAAAAAAAAAAAGACAACCTTTTGCATTACTTAAGTCTTTCCAAGGCATGCGCTGGTACAACACAAACTTCTCCTGTCAGAAGTAACTAGTCTAGCGTCCAAACATCATGCACAATACCTCGGTAGCAGCGCACTGCGCCCGCTCCCGCCGCGGCCCTGCTCGTTTGTGTATGATATTTGGGGCATCTGGAGGAGTGTGAATAGTATCAGGAAGAGGAGGGAGGAGGAAACAGCATGAGTGCCTGGCTGGGAGGAGGTCAGCCAAAGTTGTGCAGGGCAAGCCTGAACATGTCATTGGTGCAAACCCAAGCATCGTTGATGTTCTTTAATAGGAACATCTGGTGGAACCCCATGATGGGGTCTTCATCAGCCTTGAGCTGGCCCACAACCATGCTGATGATGCAGCTATCTGGCGTGGGCTGATGGTCCTGTGCCGTGATGCTGTGCTGGATTTTCTGGAACAGAAGGCTAGACAACTTCTCCACAATGGCAGCTTTCCCCTGGAATTGCTGTCCTTCCCACGTAAGGCATGATGCGTCAATATAAATTGCCCCTAGTTGGGTTCTGTCGTTATCAAATAACTGGTAGTAATGTTGAACGAAGCTGGATCCAATCTGCTCCCAAATTGGCTTGTCTCCCATTCTGGAGCGTCACCCGGCCTCGTTGAGACCCGAGGGGCTGGCACGATGGCGGCAGCGGCGGCGGCGGCCAACATTGGTCCTTCTTTCAAGGAGTTTATAAAGTTAATTGGGAGATAAAACCTAAATAGTGTACATATAAAGTTAAAAAAATATGAGTGTTTGGAAAAGAGTTTGGCAGTTTGGCAGTTCCTCAAAAAGTTAAACATGGAGTTACCATTTGATTCAGAGTTCAATTTCTAGGTATTTACCCAAGGGGAAAGAAAACGTATGTCCACACAAAAACTGTACACGAATGTTCGCCGCAGTACTATTCATAATAACCAGAGGTGGAAACAACCCAAATGTCCATCAGTAGAGGAATAGATAAACATAAGCGGTATATCCATAAACTGGAATATTATTCCGTCATAAAAAGGAATAAAGTATTATGGTACAAAAAGAAATGTAGATATGGTCTTTTTTCCAGGTTCCTGGCACAGAGCTCCTAATACCCTTGGATTTTCCTATGTGATGGGGTGATCGGAGAGTCTTTTGTTATTCATAACAAACCCCTTTCAACTAACCATACCTGAGTTCATATTAATGGGGTGACTCTTGGTGGGCCCCTAGAGAGCTTCATGATGGGAGCTGGTTGCAACCAAGATCAGCCATGATTAGAGTTGGAAGTTTCTGTCCCACTCCCAACATCCAGGGAAGAGAAAGAGACAGAAGCTTGAGTTCAATCACCAATCCCTAATGGTTTAATCAATTAGTAATGAAATGTCCATAAAAGAACCCTAAACAGCGAGGTTCAGAGGGCTTCCAAGTTAGTGAACACATCAAAGTGCTGGCATGGAAATTCTGTACCTCCTCTCGCCGTACTTTCCCCATGCATCTCTTCCATTTGGCTATTCCTGATTTGTATCCTTTATAATAAACTGGTAACAATAAGTAAAGTGCTTTTGTGAGTTGGAGTTATTCTAGTGAATTATCAAACCTAAGATGTGGGTTCATGGAAACTCCTGAATTTGTAGTTGGCTGGGCAGAAATATGGATAGCCTGGGCACCCCATTAGCAGGTGGTGTCTGAAGTGGGGTTTAGTCCCACAGGACTGACCCCTTAACCTTGTAAGGTCTGATGTTAACTCCAGGGGTTAGAGTCAGAATTGAGCTGAATTGTAGGACACCCAGCTGGTAGCAAGGAACTGGTCCATGTCAAGAAAGAACCCCAGAAGCACTGACGCATGCTACAACATGGATGAACCTTGAAAACATTATAGTAAGTAAAAGAATCCAGACAGAAAAGGCTACATACTGGGGTGCCTGGGTGGCTCAGTCATTAAGTGTCTGCCTTCTGCTCAGGTCATGATCCCAGGGTCCTGGGATCGAGCCCCGCATCGGGCTCCCTGGTCGGCAGGAAGCCTGCTTCTCCCTCTCCCACTCCCCCTGCTTGTGTTCCCTCTCTCGCTGTGTCGCTCTCTGTCAGATAAATAAAATCTTTAAAAAAAAAAAAGGCCACATATTCTATAATTCCATTAATATTAAATGTCAAGAATAGACCAGTTATATAATCGGAAAGTAGATTCATGGCTGGCAGGGACTTGAAGGAAAGGGAGAACTGGAAGTGGCTGTTAATCAATATGGGCTTCTGTTTGGAATGATAAAAAATGTTTGGGAATTAGATAGTGGTGATGAGGGCATAACTTGGTGGATATACTGAAAACCACCAGATTGTATGCTTTAAAAATAAACAAATAAATAAACTTTTTGTTTAAAAGAGCAAGGGGAAGGACACGGTTATACGTGAGAACTTATCACACCAGTTCTCCCTGCATAGAGCAATGCATTGTGAAGGAAGCACTATAATGACACACAGGACAAATTATAGCCTCCAGTCAACTGACGGTGCCTTCAAATAGCTGATTCCATAATGGCTATTTTCAGGCTATTGCCTTAGCTTAGCCTGATACAGAAACCAAGAGTTTCTATCTTAATCACATAGCCAAATCTTTGCTGACTCCCAACATCTACTTTCCTCTTAGTCTTTTTTAACTGGTTATAAGAAATCATTTGTTATTTTCACCTAAAAATAGATACAAGAGATATCAAAAGACTAAGGTTGATGTATTAGCCCATGTTCCTCCTGGAAAGCAAGGATTGAGACCAAGCCTCGAGTAAAAGTATTTGGGGCTCGGGGACAGTAATCCCACAGAGGTAGGGAGAGTAAAACAGGAAAGGAGAGAAAACCAATACAAAGGTGTAATCTCAAAATGGTTGTTATAAGAAACTGCATCTCTATCTCTTTAGGGCTTTTTGAGGAGCTCTGTGGAATGGCCTCAGAATTATCCACCTTAGATCAGGAGGGATTGGTTCTTGATCACATTGGTCAAGGTTTGCTTTGTGGGGCACAGATTCCCCTGCACTTCGAGGTGGTGTGTGCATGAGTGCTGGGTGGATTTGGTAGGAATTCCCTCACCTCAGTCTGAGTTCTGGGGCAGAACATAAGAATTATGCCAGAGAGAAGTTGGTTGCTTCTCCATGGGACTTACACCATTGGTTTTCCTGGTTTTTAGGCCTTTGGATTTGGACTGGATCTATACCACCAGCTTTCCTGGGCCCCCATCCGGCGCAGTAGATCATGAGACTTCTCAGCCTCCATAATCATATACTCCCTTTGATGACACTGTACTAGAGGACATCAAATGCATGTGACCTCATGCCTAACATGGATCCTTAACTTGAAGTTAAGAGAATAACAATAAACTGTTCAGCTACTGAGAGATCGTAGGAACCTCTTTCTTGGTCTCTTAGATTACTCCCTCTCAGGATAGCTGACTACCATATTGTGAGGATATTCAAGCAGCCCTATGGGGTAAAGAAGACCCTATGGGGAAGAGCTGATGTTTCCTGCAAACAACCAGCATCAATCTGTTAGCTATGGATAAGGTGCAGTCTAGGAAGCAGGCCCTCACTGAATACTGAAAATGCTAGCACCATGATCTTGAACTTTCCAGCCTCCAAAACTGTGAAAAATAAGTTTCTGTTGTTCATAAGCTAAAAAAAAAAAAAAAAAAAAAAAAATCGGGGCTAAAGTAAGAGGTGAACCAATTAATAATTTTAAAAATATTACAACACCTTAAATTTACACAATGTTAATGCCAAATATATTTCTGTAAAAGAATTGATGCAAAATTTTAAAAATGTTATAGACAATGAAGGCTAAGAGATCAATAAAAGAAAGAATCTTTTCAGGCTGCTGACATATGGATTATAACAGGTGAAACTTGGATTTGTAACATGAACATAGTTCTGTATCATAGTTATCGGGTTTTATTACCATATACTTAAATATATTTTACTTATATATCGCTTACAATGTAAGTAGTTCTCACTTTCCTTACAACGCAGGGAGTCTAAAATCATGTAAACATAAAAGAAAATAAGATGGGGGAAGGAAGTCTTTTAAACAAATGGTGCTGGAAAAACGAAATATACACAAGCAAAAGAATGAAGTTGGACCTTTATCTTACACCGTATATAAAAACTGAAAAAAATGGACCAAAGACCCACATATAAGTGCTAAAACAAAAAGTGCTTAGAGGGTGCCTGGGTGGCGCAGTTGGTTAAGCGACTGCCTTTGGCTCAGGTCATGATCCTGCAGTCCCGGGATCGAGTCCCGCATCGGGCTCCCTGCTCAGCAGGGAGTCTGCTTCTGCCTCTGGCCCTCCCCCCTCTCATGCTCTCTGTCTCTCATTCTCTCTCAAATAAACAAATAAAATCTTTAAAAAAAAAAAAAGTGCTTAGAAAAGACTTTTGAGAAATTTCCATGACATTGGATTTAGCAATGCTTTCTTGCATTTGACACCAAAAGCACAGACAGCAAAAGAAAAAGCAAATAAATTGTACTTCATTAAAATTAAAACACCTATGCATCAAAGAACACAATCCAGAGAGTGAAAAGACAGCCCACAGAATGGCAGAAAATATTTGCAAATTGTTTTTTAAAAGGGTTTAGTATCCAGAATATACAAAGAACTCCTACAATTCAGCAACAACAAAAGACACTGCCCGATACAAAAATGGGCAAAAGACTTGAATAGATATTACTCCAAGACGGATAACTAGATGGCCAGTAAGCACATGAAAAAATGATCAATATCACTAGTCATTACAAAAATACAAACCATATTAAGATACCACTTCATACCCATTAGGAAAGCTACTATTTAAAAAAACCAAAACAGCTGAGAATAACAAAAGTTGGTAAGGATGTAGAGAAATTGGAACCATTGTACTTTGCTGATGTGAATGTAAAATAGTGCAGCCGCTATGAAAAACAGTTTGAAACAAAACAAAACAAAACACAGTTTGACAGTTCCTCAAAAGCTAAACATAGAATTACCGTATGATCCAGCAATTCCACTTCTGGGTATACACCCAAAGAATGGAAAGCAACAACTCAAATAGATATTTTGCATCCATGTTATAGCAGAATTATGCACAATAGCCAAAAGATAGAAAGAACCATGTGTTCAAAATATGAATGGACAAACAAAATATGATTTACCTATGATGCAATATTATTCAGCCTTATAAAGAAAGGAAGTCGGTACAAAAAGAATGAACCTTAAAGATATACTATGTGAAGACAGATATTGTATGAATTCACTTTTATGACGTGCCTACAGTAGGCAAATTCATGGAGACAGAAAATAGATAAGAGGTTACCAAGGTCTGAGGAGGGAGGTATGTGGAGTTATTGTTTAACAGGTACAGAGATTCTGTGTGGCGTCACAAAAACATTTTGGAAATAGATAACAGTAATAGTTACACAACACTGTGAATGTAATTAGTGTCACTGAATTGCACACTTTAAAATGATGAATTTTATATTACATGTACTTCGCCATAATAAAAAAGAACAAGAAAGAAGGAAGGAAGGGAGGAAGGAGGGAAGGGAGGAAGGGAAGGAGGGAGGGAGGGAGGAAAGGAAGGAAGGAAGGAAGGAAGGAAGGAAGGAAGGAAGGAAGGAAGGAAGGAAGGAAGGAAGGAGGGAAGGAGGGAAGGGAGGAAGGAGGGAAGGG